AGAACTCTACCCATACATTCATATGTCGTAAGATCAAGGAGGGTTACAGAGGACGCACGAAGATATTAGAAGGTCAAAGTCCAGATTTTGACCATGTCAATATTTTGGCCCTTTTTGACCCCTACCCTAAAAAAGGGCTGTAATTTCCACCAGGAATCTTCTGATAAAAAAATGTAATTTTTGTCAGTTTGGACGATATATCTATGCCCACAAAAATCTTCAGTGGCCTACTGGAACATGATATATCACCCCCTGGTTCATAGTTACAGACTCTGGCTCTTAACAGTAGGCGAAAATGAATGGGAGTGTACGTGCAAATTTTACTTCTGTTTGTATACGCTCCTGGAACAGATGCTTCACTTGAGCGTACGCTATCAGCAATGTAGTGTTCTCTCTCTCTCTCTCTCTCTCTCTATATATATATATATATGGGCCAATCAGGAAACAGAGTGCGCGCATGAGCAGGATAATCGCGACCCCGAAAAGAAAAAAGAAGATCCGGAGCTGAAACTTAACCTACCGGCTCGAGTAATTAGTAATTCACGTTGAAGGAAGTGAACAAGGCATGAGGGAACCTGTGAAACACTGGAGACTTCCGAAATCACCTGAAATGTGACAGCTCGCAGACAGGGGCGTGCACTGGCAAAGAACATGGAAATGCAAAACATTACAGGGGGGGAAAATGTGCATAAACTGGCAAATCATGAGGCAGATAATAGAAAATGCATGAACAAAACAAACCAAGTTTAAATGAACATTAAACCAGAACGGGCAGAACATGTAGAACGTAACACCATCATGAAAAGCATCATATCTGAAGCCTCTGTTTATTTGATTCACTGTGTTTTGGCTGTTTTGTATGCCCTCTGGGCTGGTTTTGGCATGTGATTTCTGTTAAGTGATAGTGTCATTACCGCATTAGCGCTCAGTGCATTCCTCAGGGCTATTCCCATACCTGTTTGTAGTCTGATTCATTGGCCCTGCGTGCATCTATTCCCCAGTTTCTTTTGTAATGAGTCAGATGTCTTGCTTGAGCTTGTTCTTTTTATTTATTTATTTAAAAGGGACAGTGCATATTAATAAGCATTAGACATGTAAATATACCGGTTTGTAGCCATAGGCTAATTTCCAACCTTGGTCCCTTAGCAGGTTGATTTGAACAACAGCTTAGTAATAGCAAAACACACAATACAGGACAAATACTACACAAGTAAGATAAACAAAAAACAAAAACAAAAAAAGAGGAAAAGTAAAAGTAAAAACAGAGACAAGTTGATACAAATAAAAATCATAATGGTTTAAGAGCAACAATGCAGGGGCAGTTAAATACCAGCAGAAGATGAAGCGTAAAGATATAAAGTGCAGAGTGCATATTTAAAGTGCTATGTGCTATACTGCATGTTCAAAATACTGTTTACAAAAATGGAAAGTGCTAAGTGCAAATGATTGCACATCGTCAATTACAAATACCTGCACATTGCCCATTATTACAAACTAAAATTCGATTGCACGCAGCCTATGACAATATTATACGTGCATAAATAGATTGCACATTGCCCGTTATACTATGATATTAATTGCACGTTGCCCTGATATAGATTGCACATAATTATTGTAAATTGCACATTGCCCAAGGTAACAAATGATTGCGGGAAGGCCCATGATGTGACAGCGTATTGTTCCTGGTTAAACGTGATCACAGATCTGGTTTTGTTCGGAGTATGGAGTTAAATTACTGCCAAAACCTAATATACAAAAAAAACATGTTTCACAAATGCGCAACAATTCACTAACAAACACAACGTGATTTGCAAATACAAAACTGATTCACGTGCAAACAAAGTGTGGTTTGCAAGTACAAAAAAGATTTGCAAACAAACACAGCATGGTTTGCAAATATAAAAATGATTCACGCACAAACAAAGCGTGATTTGCAAATGCAAAAATGATTTGCAAACAAACTGATTTGCAAATACAAAACACCATTAACAAACTAGTATATTCTGTTTTATAAATACAAAACATAGCCATCACAAATACGCGGTGCTTCAATTCGTATGAGAAAATACTTCCTAGAAGTTCGTGACTTTTGGCAGCTTTCTACCGGTGATATGGTGGTGCCGATTTTATCACTTGTATGCTTAGGATTTGCGAACAAATGTCCTAACTAAGTTATTTGCCCTCCTCAACAGCAGGTGGCGCTATGAGTCCATTTCCTCGATTTTTAAATGGCACAACACCGGAGACTGTCCTGAAAGAATAGCTTCATATCCCACCAGACACAGTACAGAAATCAAACTAATGATTTTGATGGCGAAGGGTGGGCCTACTATTGATACAAAATATCACCTTATGCAAGGGTTTCTGACATCTTGTACACCACTTCGCAAATTGGTTGATGATTTCCCTTGTGTCAAAATTCCCTGCCAAAATTCCACTCCCCCTCTCGTGCAGACGCTTTCTGGCCATCCGACTTAGTTGGCATTAACGACAACAAGGATTGCTTTTATTACTAAGTGATACAATCACGATAATACGAGGGTACAAATAAACTATAAGTCTCCCGTGAAACATATTGGCGGGCTATTTGTGCCATTTTATATCTTCTTTCCGTGGTGGAATTACCGTTTTATATCATACTACACTGACGTCAGTTCCATCCTGGCAAAGATTAGGCTACAACCTCCATGGTGGAATTTACGCATCCATGAAATGGAGCTTATTTAACTAAAGGCAACGCTTTTGAATATTTAGTCGACCTGACTAAACCGAATAAATTGACATGTTCGAATTACCTCGTAAAAACCCTACGAAATTAATTTTACCAACAAAAAAAGAAAATCATCGGCCAGTGCACACTGGTGTGGAAAAATGTCAGAAACCCTTGCTTGGTCATATTTAGTATCAATAGTAGGCCCACCCTTTGCCGTCAAAATCATTAGCTTGATTTCTGTACTGAGTCTGGTGGGATATTGATCTGTCCTTTCAGGACAGACTCCGGTGTTGTGCCGTTTAGAATTCGAGGAAATGGCCTCATAACGCCACCTGCTGTTGATGAGGGCAAATAACTTAGCTAGGACATTTTTTCGCAAATCCTAAAGACACAAGTGAGAAAATCGGCACCACCATTTCACCGGTAGAAAGCTGCCAAAAGTCACGAGGTTGTGGAAAGTATTTTCACATACGAATTGAAGCGCTGGGTATTTGTGATAGGTATTTTTGTATTTGTAAAACAGAATATATTAGTTTGTTAATGGTGTTTTGTATTTGCAAACCACACTTTGTTTGCAAATCGTTTTTGCATTTGCAAACCACTCTTTGTTTGTACGTGAATCATTTTTAGATTGTGTTTGTTTGCAAATCTTTCTTCGTATCTGCAAACCACACTTTGCACGTGAATCAGTTTTGCATTTGCAAATCACAATGTGCTTGTTAGTGAATCATTGTGCATTTGTAAAACACGTTCTGTTTGTATATTAGGTTTTGGCAGTAATTTAACTCCATATCGGAGCCACACCTTCAGACATCCCTTGAATGTAAAGAAGCTGGAGCGGTCTCTAATTGAAGGATGTAGGCTGTTACATAGTATGCTACCTCTAAATGATAAAACATTTTGTCCAAATGTAGTTTGTCTAAATGGTACCTCACAGTCACCTCTGACAGGCGCTCTGGTGGCTCCAGTAATGGAGTGGCTGACTGCCCTCTGTTTGATATAGTCATTTAGTGGTGGTGGTGCCAGAACATGTAGGACTTCGTATATCAAACTATATTTTTTTTTTTTTGAAGATTATTTTTTTGGGAATTTTTCCTTTATTTGATAGTTATACAGTGTAGAGACAGGAAAGTTGGGGAGAAGAATGGAGGAAGACATGCAGAAAATGACCCGAGCCGGAATCAAACTCAGGTCGCTGCGGGAAGGACACAGCCTTTATGGTATGCGCGCTTAGACCGATGAGCCACCGGGCACCCAAACAAGCTATTTTAACATTTTTTAAATTTTCAACACTCAGTTGCCTGCCCTCTTGAGGTTCTTTGATTGCGAGTTCCTCTTTCTTCCCTCAGCCCCTTTGTGTTTGTGGGTGTTTGCCCCGGTCTTTTGTCTTCCACTTTCTACCTCCAGGGTTCCCTCCTCTCCATCCCCGTTCTTTCTCGGACTGACTTCTTGGTTTCAACCCAGTTAAACTTCATCCTGCGCGTCTTCCTGGATCCCAGTTACAGCTGTTCGACCCTACCTTGTCCTCCAACCACAATCTGTGTTTCCTGCATTGCTCAGGCTGTTGCATCTTGACCCTAAATGATAGACTATCAAAATAAAAATTAGTTTTTCGATCCGTCTGGGTCCTGCAGTTGATTACTTCTGCTCTGCCATCCCTGACTGCAAAAATGCTGTGAAAAATAAGTGTCTAGGTCAGGGGTGGGCAATTCCAGTCCTGGAGCGCTGGTGTGTATGCAGGTTTTTATTTCCATTAATTACCCTGACTAATTGAGGTAATTGGTTGTACACGCAAACATAGATTTGCGCATATATTATACCTAAGTAAACTGTGACAGTTGGGGGAGACATGAACAGTCTTTGGTGGTCATTCATCATAATTTCCAGAAATGCAGTGTCACAGTCTGCTCTGCTGCTGCTGTCTCTCCCTCTGCCTGGCCACACCCCTTCCACTGCAATTGTTCTCAGCTGAGTGTCGTTACCCAGCCAGTATATAAGCAGCTCTGTTTCGCTAACTCTTTGCCAGATTGTCGTTGCAGCATGCACTACTCTCCAGCGCTTATCTTTGGTCTGACTTCCTGGAATCGACTCTGGCTGCCTCTGACAATGTCCTCTCGTTCCTGCCCCGGTAAACCTGATTGCCTTCTGCCTCTGACTCTGAGTTGTGCCTGTGTGTTTCCTGGTTCCTGTCTGCTGTCTTCTAAGCCCCTGTCCAAGCCACCTGTCTTGCCACTCCACTGTCTGCCTGTGTGGATACGACCTCGCCTGCCAAGCCTCAAGATAGCCTGCTCCGGTGGCCCAGTGGTAACTCTCCTGTCTACGGAATGGGTGACCCAGGTTCGATCCCCGCCATTGGCGCCTATTCCAGCGAGGTACCTGAAGAGCTCCGCTCAAGATCCACAAGCTCCAGACCCTGATCTACACCAAGCTACCCCGTTTTGTATTCTGTTTACCTCTGCTCAGACACCATTAAAAGCCAGTAAAGATCCACCTGCGTTGATTGTGCTGCCTTTGGTTCCTGCCACTCTCTGTGTCAGTACAATCTGGCCAGATATGGACCCAGCACACAATCCCACTCCCCTGACCCGACTCGAGAAGATCAAAGCCGTCCTCCAGCACCATGAGGTCATGATGTCAGCCGCCGCCTCCGACACCAGGAAATCCCTTGCAGCATTAGTTGACCAACTGCAGCAGCTGACGGCTATGGTGGCTCAGCCCGCTGCCCCTCCTGCACCTGTACCAGCTCCTGACCCTGTGCTACCCATCGGGGCCCCAGAACCTTGAGTTGGAACCCCGAGCGATACAACATAGACCCAGAGACCTGTGGCCCCTTCCTGACAAACTGCTCCCTGCTGTTCTCCCTCCAGCCCCATACCTTCGCTTCTGAGCAGGCGAAGGTGGCCTTCACCATCAATCACCTGACGGGCCGGGCTTGTCTGTGGGGAGACTGCTGAGTGGGAGAGACAGTCCCCACCCTGCGTCTCCTTCCAGGCCCTTGCAGGTGAGCTACGTAAGGTCTTCAGTTTGGGGATCCCCAGCTCCGAGGCCGCTCAGGGACTACTAACATTGAAACAAGGGAGCAGGATGGTTGCTGATTACTCCATCGATTTCTGCTCAACAGCTAGTTGAAGCCGCTGGAACCCTGCAGCCCAGGTGGACGCCTTCCTTCACGGTCAAGCTGACTACCTCAAAGATGAGCTGGTCTCCTGCAAGGTTCCCCCCACACTCTACGGAATCCTCGAGTTCACCAGGAATATTGATCTCCGCATCCAGGCCCGTAGGCGAGAGAGAGGTCAGGGGGCTTCCCATTGCCAGATGCCAGCCCGGTCCAGGGCGGATCTCACCCGATCGTCCACCTTGCCTAATCTGTAGATGGAGGAGTCTGAACCTGAGCAGCTGGACCGCACCCCTCTCACACCAGAAGAACGGGAGCATGGATGTCGCCTAAACCTGTGCCTGTACTGTGGGAAGGAGGGTGATTTCGTTTCAGCCTGTCCAGTAAAAGCCAAGGCTTACCCATAGCCAGGGAGGTACAGATGAGCTTAAAAACACTACCTCCCTAAAAACCACAGACTGCATCTCCAAGCCTGGTTCCTCTTTCCTGATGAGCCCTTCACCTTAGCTGCCCAGGTGGACTCTGGTGCCAATGCTAGCCTGATTAGTGAGGAGTTGGCCCAACAGTTCGGGCTCGGTCGGGTTCCTCTGCCTCATCTGTTGCTCGCCCAGGCTCTAGATGACCACCGACTGAGTACCATTACCCACCAGACCACTCCAGTTCCCATGCTCCTGTCTAGCAATCATCACGAGACCACCCAGTTCCACATCCTGAACTCTCCTGGCCTGCCACTTATCCTGGGCTATTCTTGGCTTCGGCGACATAAACCCCACATCGACTGGGAGACCAGTTCCATCCATAATTGGGGAACATCCTGCCACCTCACCTGCCTCAAGCATGCCTCTTTGCCGTTCCACTGTCCCACCACCAGTCCTTCACCTGATGTATCCGGGGTGCCTTCCGAATACCAAGACCTCCGTCAGGTTTTCAGCAAGGCCAAGGCCACCTCTCTGGCCCCGCGTCCGCCCTACGACTGTGCCATAGACCTCCTGCCAGGCACCTCGCCCCCCAGAGGCTGCCTGTACTCTCTGTCTATCCCCGAAAGGAAGGCCATGGAGATTTACATCAATGACTCCCTAGCTGCAGGCATCATCCGCCTCTCCTCATCTCCTGCTGGGGCGGGCTTCTTCTTTGTGGAGAAGGATAAGACTTTGAGACCTTGCATTGACTGTCGGGGCCTGAATGAAATCACATTCAAGAACCGCTGTCCCCTGCCACTCATCTCTTCCGCCTTTGAACTGCTTCAGGGGGCCACCATCTTCGCCAAGCTTGATCTCCGCAATACCTTCACATTTGACGATACTCAATTTAATTTGCAAAGTTTCCATCCAGCGATGGATTCTATTTAAATCAACCTGAATCACCTCAGCAGACTCCAAACATGCAAGTAACATTTTACAAATTTTACAAGAGAGCCAAAAAACTGCCACAGCACCACCTGTTAAAAAACTTACCTGTAGATACGACTTTTTAAAAAGGCATTTTAACCCCTTTAGGATAGGAATTGTGACTCCAGACTTGGTCAGGAGATGGGCTAGTCTTAGTTATTCCAAAACAACCAAAAAAGTCATTTTTGATCGGAGTGTCACCTATGTCCTTCTTGCATGAGGCCATCGATATATGTTCCTGGCTTTCACTCCATTTTCTAGCCCTGAAATTACTTACATAATTAGCCAGTCTATTTCTGAAATCAGTGCATATCTCCATACTCAGCTGCATTTTGTTACACGGTTACCTCCTAATGACTGAGTAATGAATATTTAAGCCCTCCAGTTCATATGCAAGTTGCCGGATTGTAAAGTTATGTTTGTACTGAAGTCCCCAGTTAGATGTGCATCAGTAAAAGTTCTTTGTCTTCATCTGATGCAACAACTTTGTTAGTGATAGCCATTTCTCTTACAAGGCTTTCTTGTCATTTAGTAAATTCAAAAAGGCTCCCATCTTAATCAGGGTCCAGGACTGGGACTGCATTCTTGTTAACCTCCCCAAGTCTGCTCTCTTTGTCATGTTTGTTTTGAACAAGGCTCCAAACCTGACCTGGGTCCAGGACTGGAATGGAGTTCCTCTCAAGCAACCTCCTCTACCTTTGGAGCCTATCAGTGGTGGCAAAGCCAATAAAACATCTGGCAGCCTCCTGGAAGCCACTGGCCAGCGAGTGCCGCCCAGGTTAGCGAATAACAACTGAGATGAACTGTCACTCATTATTCGGGGTACCATCCTCGTCTGCTTTCTCCAGGATTCTGTCCCTGTCTTGAATTATTGCTGTCAAAAAACGACCATTGTCCTCTGTGAATTGCTACCTTATTGTGGTGGTGTTTGCATGCCCCTGGGATCTTGGGAGCTGTACTGTCTGGTAGGCCTGTGACTAAAAACTGGGTACCCGGGTCCCGCCCGAAGGTTCAGGTCCCAGGAAGAAAATTGCGATACCTGTTTCCCGAAAATCAGTACATTGATTGTGCACACGATAAAATGCTGGGTAATCATTCATGGCATCACCCAGACATTCGCTCATGTACATTATTTATTCCTGTAGCTCAGGACTGTCGTGCGCCAACGATTAGTTTATCAACTTACTTGAATGGGAAACAGATGGAGAATCAATCAGTGGCAATTTGGAGATTTTATATAATCAAGGTCAAGGATGTATTAATCCCTACCTCCTCGGTCTAGTCAGCTCGCGCTCGCTAGCTACCTTTCGATCTCATCGGCGTCATGGGTTTTTTTCTTTTTCTTTTCAACAGTTATGCTGATGAATTTTGATGATATTGATACAAATTACATGATATATTTATTGTCGTTGTGATTGATAGTCCCGGTTGATAGTAATAGTGATGATGAATACGGCGATTCGGTATTCGGTAACGATTGAAGTTGATGGAATAATTATCAAGTGATGATGATAATGAGGAAATGGGAAATTCAGGGGTGCAGATATGATTTTGAGTTTTGACAATGGGATTGTTATGATGGTATGATGAAATGCTTATTAATGATAATAATGACATCAGTCGGACATCCGTATACACTTTGATATAGTAAATGAATTTGGAAAATACATTTGGAAAGTAAAATATCGTATGCGTAAAATACCTGATCAGTCCATCCAACGTTCGTGAGTTGACAATGAAATACCACCTCGAACGAGCTTTTCGTGGTAAGTTATCTGTCTGTTTCTCGGTCTTTGTTTCTTTAGTGTACGTAAACCAGTGGCTTAGCCAGAACGTAGAAGTGGGTGGGCACTTAACACCTCTTTAAAGCATTTATTCGTTCTGACTCGATCGCAGTCATTTTTTCTGATTAACTACATATTCAATCCGAAAACACTCCGCACTATCAGATGTTGCTTGTCGTTCAGGCAAAAGATAATCATTCATTTGGATGCGCAATTTTGTGCTTTTCATATCAGTGGCGTAGCCACACCTGAAAATTGAGCGGCCACACAACATCGGTTTACTATAATTATTATACCTAACTTATTCTCAGCCATTTTCCTTTGTTCAAGCAATTTCCATTTATATGAATAATCAACTGGCAATTAAAGACACGGCTTCTTTCGTGGTGCGATCTAAGGGCGACTTATCAATAGTCATAATTCAGTTCAGCAAAATAAGTTAGGCTACTCATAAGTTGTGCTTTAATACTTTTAATTAATACTTTTCGAGAGGTAAACTGCTCTGGAACTTCCGCGCTACCTTTTCGGCTCATCAGGGCCCAGTATTTCAAAAGTGATCTGACAGGATTATCCTAGTCGGATTGGATTAAATCTTTATCTGATCTGAAAACTGTGTATTTCAACACAGATCCAGAGAATCCTGATCCTGAAGATCAGGATTCAGCTCTGGTAATCCAATCCTCCCTTTAATCCAGATAAAAGGCTGGACTTGGGTATTTCAAAAGTTAAGGCAGAGATCTGGGTCAACTTGATACCAAAATTTCAGGATCATTTGGATCCCACCTCAGAGGTGGATTTGACTTGGATTGACAAAGCCTTAGCTCCACTTCCCCTAGATATTGTTACTCAAGATGTTCATTACACTTAATCTAAATTGTCAGTGTTTTACATTTAACAAATTGGAGTAATTTAAGAAAATTAAAGCATAATAAAATAGTGTTTGGAAATACCTTCTGAAACTGCTGTAAATAAGAGTAACAAATACAACCCATTTCTCAAATTCTAATTTCACCAAACTTTGTAACTTGTGTGTACCAAAACATTCACCACACATTTGGAAGAGCTGTGCGAAA